TAGAAATCTGTCATGGGGGCCCCGCGTGGTAAAGCTGTAGGACCTGCTTGGGCAAACACACAGGGAGGCCCCACAGTGTAGGGCCAAGATGTGCCCTACATTTCAGCCCACAGTGGGCTGTCAACAGTGTGGGTTTCTCCACAGTGGCCTCACATGGGCCCCAAGAGGATATGTTTGCTGGATAGATACCCAGTTGCATTTAATATAGATTTTACAAAGCCACTTGGTGTAGGCTACAAATACAAGCACAGAGTTCAAAATAAATGGGTGTTGTCACAATGGCTACACCCATCTTTTATATACAGTCTATGATTCCAGCGACACATTTGGTTAATGGCAAGTAATTCATCATAATTTCTTTACATTATATACAGCACCTCCTTTCATACACACATGCAGCTCAAAGGACAACGGGATTTGTCTCACCTTGGCGTCCACAGGTTTTGTGGAGAACTTGTCCCTGCTCTCTCCATGCTCATCATACAGCAACACCACCCTGTCCACAGTGCAAACAGCGAACTTGATGTTGTTTGGTGCCCATGCCATGCAGGTAACTTTGGCAGCAAACTCCTGTCAAAGCAGGTAAACAAATCAGTCCTAAAGCACTTGTTTTATAGACTTGCTCTTATATGATGTCCTCTTTTAAAATCCTTCTAATGATTGTGTATCTGTTACACGTGTCTTTATGCTTCTACTCTAAATGAAAATCAGTGTTTCTCTCTGTTTTATCTTGTGTTTGGCCCTGATTTCAGTCTTTCTATAAAATCATGCTTTAACTGTCTGCCTAATTGTTGTCTATTTTTGCCAGTAGAGATACTCTTCCTTATGAGCGACAGATAGATGTTAAATTTGATCAGACACGATAGATTTAGGTGTTTTAAAATCCATTTAGCACGTGCAGACTTTTGGCCATGTATTAATCATAAACGCAGCGTTTATGTGCTAGCAAGCCTGGCTAGTGCAAAAATCCGCTTTCAATGACAGTTCAGCGTGGGTCAGTAAAATCAAATTCATGCAATAAATAAATAAATATATCACGAAACTGGTGCGCAGTTTCAGCTTTCTAGTATAAACATTATTATCTGGCTTCCAGAACCAGTTATTGTTAGCTAACTCGCGCTGCCTTCCTAGCACTACTTACCGTTAGCTCACTCGTCAACTTACCCGGGAGGTTAAAAGTGTCTTGATATACTTCAGTTGCATTCTGAGGGAAGCTCGTACACAGAATGGTATTATTACTGCTGGAATATTCCTCAGATTTTGGTCATTTTGCTAGCGAGCCAGGGCTAGCGCAGAGGAGGTTGGAAGTAAACTAACTGTGATCTCCTTAGTTACCGCTGGGGCGGGACTTGCGGTGCGTTCATAACAATAGGAAATGTGAATGTTCTCGGACAGTTTGCCAGCTCTCGCGCTTTTGTTTCTGCAAAAGGATGCCATTAAATAATTAAAACAATTTTAACCCGGTAGAGTCGTTCCAGGTTACGCCACAGGCCGTGAACAGAACTGCTTCGATTATGTGATTTCTATCCGTTTATTCTGTTTACTCTCTAAAGATGCTACGATTTCCGTCATTATATATCAGCCGTCAAATGACAGAATTCCCGGAGCTAAAACATGTCCACGTTTAGTAAGGGAAGAGTTCAGTTTAGATGTGATATTTAAATAGTCACATTTTAGACTAAGATTAAAAAGTTTTGAGGAAATTTCCCCCAAAAAAGAAAAGAAAAAATATGGAGATGCCGGGGATTGAACCCGGGGCCTCATACATGCAAAGCATGCGCTCTACCACTGAGCTACATCCCCTTCCGTATAGGAGCCGCGAATGTAGTATATTTATTCGCATACATCTGCACTATACCCACACTTGCTAACTGTTTCTTCGCTATATCATACTTGTTTAAAAGACAATTTCAATTCCTCATATATTATGTACATTGCTTAAACTTTCTTCAGGCATACCAAACCGTTGAATAAAAATATTAAAGTTAAATAAATGTAAATTTATGAATAAGTCTGGATTGTAGCCCCCACAAACTCAGCCTGCCAGATTGCGCACTTGTGAAATTTGCTGTTAACATCACTTAAGATTTATCTTTTACTTTTCATAATCTCTATATATTATTAGCCATTTAAATGGTGAATACACATCACACATTTTACGTCAATATCAAAATTGTAAGAGTTATAAGAACGTTTTTTCCTGTGCACAGAACAAAATGTTAAATTGCCGCTGCAGATACGCCCCTCTAGCGTGGTGACGTAGAGGTCACGTGGAAGTGTTAATTTTCCAAAGTGTACCAAGGTGTACCGGAAATCAGCGAAACCCTCAAGTGTATGACGAGATGTTGCCAATTTTTATGTCGCACAAAATCAGAGACAAACACATGTAAATTGTTTACTAAAATTTAGGATGCATATTGGCTCTAAAACAAAGTTACTCTAAATTTTTGATTCATGTAAACAATTTACTTATTTTCATGACAATATGCATTTTGTTGACTTCTAAAGATAAGAATTTATATACTCTGAATACTTGGCATTGGAACCAACTATTGAAATTATTAAGTTAAAGTATAAAAACTTTTCAAACACCTTCTTCTTATCCCATACTTCTCCAAATTCCACAGTAATTGTGTCAATTTTGTATTGAGGCAAAAACCTTTCATTAGGTTAATAGAAACACTAACACTTATATTGTAAGGTAAATACCGTACAATAATAGCGCCTACATTTTCCTAAATCATGTTCTTTTTAGGGCATAGAGATATAATTTTTTTCATTAATATTTTTTGTAACATTTTTTAAAGTTGAGAGTTCTCTGGTGTTTGGGCGATCAGATCCCAGCAAACTAAACAGGGCACGAACGAATGTTGGACAATGTGGGTATGTCAGTAATGATAAGTGTTAGTGTAATTTATGGGGTTTATTTATTTAAATTATTATTTAATAAATCTAACTTGGGAAAAATATTGCAAACAGCCTAGTCTCAAATTCTACTAAAAGTTGATTCTGTTCATCTGGACGTAGCGTTTTGTGGGAGAAACGTTTCGTCACTCATCCAAGTGACTTCTTCAGTCTCAGCTGACTGCAGGGTTCTCCAAATCTTATAAACAGTAAATTTGCATAATGACTGAAACCAGCCCACCGAGGGAACAATGGGCTGGGAGGTCAGTTCCTTAATCATAATTATGCAAATTCTCATGACTGTTGATCAACAACCACTGACCAAAACCCATTGATCAAAGACCACTGATCAATGGCCATGACTACCATTCACAGAGAGTTGGGGAATGGCTGCAATCACAGCATTGTAAGATGGCGAAAGATGTACCCTTAGGCCCCCTCCTCGATTCAGAGATGGTCTTTCCCTTTTCACGTAAATGGCCTCCTTGACTCCGCGCTCAAACCAGCGTTCCTCTCTGTCCAGGATGTGCACATCCTCATCATTGAAAGAGTGTCCACTGGCCTGTAGGTGTAAATAGACTGCAGAGTCCTGGCCTGACGAGGTAGCTCTTCTGTGTTGTGCCGTCCGCTTCGCCAGAGGTTGTTTGGTTTCCCCGATGTATAAATCCTGGCAATCCTCCTGGCACTTAACAGCGTACACTATGTTACTCTGTTTGTGTCGGGGGACCCGATCCTTGGGGTGGACCAATTTTTGGCGCAGCGTGTTTTGGGGTTTAAAAGCCACAGAGACCTGGTGTTTAGAAAAAATGCGTCTCAATTGCTCTGATACTCCTGACACATATGGGATCACTACAGGTTTTTGCTTGGGCAGTGGTTGTCCTTCTCTCCTGGATTAGCTGGAGCTTTCTTTAGGTGCCTTTCCCGCTTTGACAGAAGTCCAGCTGGGATAACCACATTTACTCAGGGCCTTCTTGATGTGCCGTTCTTCTGCCTCCCTGGCCGCTGTGTCTGTGGGGATGGTGTTTGCTCTGTGTTGTAGCGTCCTAATGACACCCAGTTTGTGCTCCAGTGGATGATGAGAGGCAAACCTTAGATACTGATCCGTATGTGTAGGTTTACGGTACACGTCAGCTTTTAGATGTCCCCCATTCCTGATGGAAATCTCACAGTCTAAGAAGGCTAACCTGCCCCTTTTCATATCCTCCCTGGTGAATTTGATGTGTCGGTCCACCGAGTTAATGTGATCCATGAAATGTAGTACGTCCTGAGATTTGATTTTCACCCAGGTGTCATCCACATATCTGAACCAATGGCTTGGTGGTGTTCCAGGGTAGGATAGCAAAGCCCTCTTTTCCACTTCTTCCATGTACAAATTAGCAATGATGGGTGAAACTGGGGAGCCCATGGCACACCTGTGTTTCTGCCTGTAGAACTGACCCTTGTATGTGAAGTAGGTGGAATGAAGACACAGCTCCAAAAGCAAACACACTTGGTCGTTGCTGAGAGTGGTCCTGTTGCTGAGGTTGGGGTCATCCTGTAATCTCTTACGGACTACCTCCAACGCTTCTGTGACTGTTTCAGTCATTATACAAATTTACTGTTTATAAGATTTGGGGAAACCTGCAGTCAGCTGAGACTGAAGAAGTCACTTGGATGAGTGACGAAACGTTTCTCCCACAAAACGCTACGTCCAGATGAACAGAATCAACTTTTGAAGATTTACTTTCCTGGATGATTGAGAATGCATCAAGATGTTATTTTAATGTAATTTTCCTAACCTGACATTTAGCTATTTAGCTAAAATTTGCTTTTATATTCCTATGGAAAAGTCTATTTCTACATTTTTTATTTATTTATTTTAATACCAAATATGATTTAAAAAAAACTTTTTCTGTAGACACATCTGGCTTCAGCTGGACTCATGACATCTGCTTTTGAACCATAAAAAATTTCCGAATCTCGTTGTAACGCTTGTATTTTATGTTGAAAATCCCTAGCGGAAACGTGAAGCCTCAGTTCGTCAAACTTACCGTCGCGGCCTGCTGCCCGACTTCCACGCTGCTGGCGGCGCGTGTGGAACACATTGGTTTCATCGTCCCGTCCGAACAAACTCTAAACTGTCAACCTAAACATATTTCCTTTGTTTTGCTTCTCCCGGATTGAAATTGGATTCGTTTCAACATTCAAAGGTTTGTTTTTGGCCACCAGATCTCATGTTTATTGGTGTTTTTTGAAGTATTTTGTGACTCAGTCTCATCTATATCTCTTGCTTCCGCGCGGCAGAACGTCCACGTGGAAACTGGGACTCGTCACAAATCCTTCAGTTATCGGTATCTGCAGTTAGTTTCAGCTGTAATCACTACAAAAAAATGGCAAATATGGCAACCCTGATCCTGGAGGACGGGACGACGTTCAAAGGCCGCCAATTTGGTGCAAGTGTGTCGGTATCCGGAGAAGTTGGTACGTGTTTTATACTGTTTTAATTTACCTCAGACTCTCAGTTTATTATTGTGCATAATCCACCTGTGTATAATATAACTCAGCATGGGTTAAACATTTGCTTTGGTACATTGTGTAATCTGGATGTGTGGTGTGGTTTGCCCCTTTGTTCCAAAACGCTCATGGTTCAGAGTTGTAAAGCGCCAAATCCTCCTAACGTTTCCCCCCCAGTGCCAAACTCCATTGAAAAAGAGTGGAATTTAGTGACGCCATCACAGCCATGCGCCCACCTCTACCTTCAGCGCCCACCTGTGTGTATTTTGGCAGGCAGATGTGACTAGGAAACTGCTTGCTGTGTCGTAATAAGCATGCCGAATTAAAGATAAGATAATAGTGATTTTGGATCAGGTCAGATTTTGACATTCAGTATGCGTGACTGCAGAGATGAGTCACGCAACGTTAAAATGATAAATAAAAATGTAAGCGTATGCTGGATGGAGGACGTATACCCGGGTGGAATGCGACTGTATTCCAGCCAGGTGTTATAATCCCTTCAAACGTTTATTACAGAAACACAAGTAGGTAGAACACAATAAAATAATCGACTATAGAGATCGAAAAACACATTTCGTTCTCAATAAACAGTCATCATACTGTATGTAGACAGTTAAAGATGCCGCATGAGTTCATTTAATCAAATGGGAAATACTGGTAATTAATGCACTTTCTAGTCTGAGTGATCACTCAGACTACAAGAGACTCCACATTTATCTGTATTTTCCAACAGCAACGACTGAAATAATTTTAATATCAGGTAATATGGGATGTCTTAATAATGAGACTGTTTATTATGAACTACAAGAAAAAAATTGGATATCGTCTCATGAGATACAACACTTGAGATACAAAGATATAATTGTACTAAATATGAGAGAATCATAATTATGAGATAAAAAGTCATCCAAGTCCTAAACCATAAGAGTTTCATTGTTATTGAAAGTGCATCAGTGTGCATTAAAAAGAAAAGAACTCAGTTTGCTAATATTCTCTGACTCTAAAGAAAAAAACTAATTATTATTAACTGTCTGGCAGATTTAAGCTCTTGTAGTTGATATGATGTACTCAAGAATGTTTTGTGTGTTTAGTGTTTCAGACGGGGATGGTGGGATACCCCGAGGCTCTTACTGATCCATCCTACCGCTGCCAGCTGCTGACCCTCACTTACCCTCTGGTTGGCAACTATGGTGTGCCAATGGATGAAGAGGGAGAGTTCGGGCTGAGCAAGGTAAGCGGTTATTTAAACTCCAGGTGAAAATTAATTTGCAAACTTATTAACATATTTAAAGTGGAAAAGCGAGTCAGGATTTTTCTTCTTTTCTTCTGTGGGACGGTTTTATCTGAATGAAAGAAGTCTTAACTCTGATAAAACACACTGTCTCATCTGTTGTTGTCTTGTTCAGTGGTTTGAGTCATACAAGATCCACGCTGCTGCCTTGATTATTGGAGAACTGTCTGAAAGTCCCAGTCACTGGAGTTCAGCCAAGTCACTGGACCAGTGGCTCAAAGAGCAAGGCATTCCTGGATTACAAGGTCAGAAACCCAGAATAAAAATGGGCGTAATTTAATTGGAAAACTGCTCAGCATCTGTAATATATATTAATGCATAAAATAATCAGATGCAAGCTTTTCAATTTAATGCTACAAACTGTTTCCATTTTCTTCAGGTGTTGACACCCGCTGCTTGACCAAAAAGATCCGAGAGAAGGGGACCATGTTGGGGAAGCTGATAGTGGACGGGACTCCTGAGGAAAGTATTCCCTTCGATAATCCCGACAAGAGGAACCTGGTCCGAGAGGTCTCCATGAAGGTAACCCACCAGGAGTTTTGTTACAGTCCCATCGAAGCTCTGCCAGCTCTCGAGTGCTAATGGAGGGCGTTATTTATGTTACTGATAAACTAGAAACTTGGAGATTTGATCTGTGGATCTAATTTTGTGAAGGTTTTTTTTAAAGCTCTAAAACATAGGAAAAGTTTAGCGCTCACACTTCAGCTCAAGTAAGAGGTTTTAAACTAAATAAAAAGCTTTTGTCTGTAGTTGTCTCAAAACATATTGTTTAGCAGGTAGCTTGCTGCTTGTTTTGTGCCTGTCAGATATTTAGATGTTTCTCTGTTTGGTTGTCTCCAGGAGCCAAAAGTGTTCAATCATAGCGGCAGCTTTCGTATCACAGTGGTGGACTGTGGCATCAAGTACAACCAGATCCGCTGCCTGGCTCAGAGAGGAGCCCGTGTTACTGTCGTACCCTGGGACCACCCGCTGGACACCGCCGGTCAGGAACACGCGCTATGTCGGGGATTTTTCTTCAGGGGAACTCGTACCACTTTTATCAGTGGTTACATAAATAATTGTTTCTCATCTTTTTCCAGATTTTGATGGTTTGTTCGTCAGTAATGGTCCCGGGGATCCCCAGCTCTGTCAGGCCACCATCAACAACGTGAGGAAGGTGATCTCTGTGGACCAACCAAAGCCAGTTTTTGGCATCTGTCTCGGACACCAGCTGCTCTCTCTGGTCATTGGAGCCAAGACCTACAAGATGAAGTGAGTACCTCAAACTCAACACCTCCGTAACCTGAAAGATAAATTGTTAAACTTTGATTCTTAAGTGATTTTAAACTTTTACCAACGTTTACTATCAAAAAGTAATGGTGCTCCATTATAAGAAAAATGTATTCAATTATTTTCAGTCCTGTAAACTTAACATGATTACTAATTTCTTCAATTTAACACACCTCTTTCTCTTTGTAATAAATTCGAAACCCTTCCGCAGGCTTGTTAGCCAGTGCTTGCTCTGGTGTTGTTAGCTGGAGCTGGACTAAACAGCAAGTGATTTAAAAGCACAAGAAAAAAATATCCTTCATGAGCAACAACAAAACAAGATCCAGAGTGAAGGTGGATGGTGTGAAAACATTTTATTTAAATTTGTTTAAGTTACCTTTGCTCCATCTTTTTACTCCGGCCCCACAGCTGCACTGTTGTGAGAACAGCTGGTCAGAAGCTGAATTTCATGACCTTTGGTGGAAAGGGTGAGCACATGTGAATGAAGAACTCACTGTATGTTCTAGTGTAGATGTGGACTTGTCTTAAAGTTGTGAAATAGGACGTCCTCATATTTTGCAAGCCTTCCTGGCAGGATCATTGTGTTCCTGTCGCTGACATTCCAGTCATTGCATGACTCAAGCAAGTATTAATATTGCCTTCAAACTAAGATTACGCAACACACATTAGCCAGCCTGAACGCACCTTTTAAAGGTTGAGCTGTAAAAAGTTGAGTGAATCTGTAGTGATGCGTTCACTGACGTCTGTCTTTTGCTGAGCCCTCGGGTGACTGAGGGCACCCTCTACTCTCTCTAGATACACAGGTTTTCACGCTCTCACTTTCTTTGTGAAATGCAGATTTTTGCTGTTCTCAGCACTCTGGCGTCTCCCTTATGATCACTAGAGGGTTGGATTGAGCGTCGTTGTTCTGAAAAAGGCTGAATAAACACGTCTGCCAAATTCTGTAGCCATATCTATTATGGGAGACTCAGCCTGATAAAGCTGCCATCGGCAGAGTCTGAAGGTCGGAGTGGGCAGCATGTGTCCTGCTGGAATGTGGCTGGCATCCCATCAGACAGATTACAGGTTGTTTGTGGAGATTCTTTCTGAAAGACTACAAGTGTCAAACAAGTCGTCCTAAAATGTGCTTTGTCTGTACCTGGATGAACAATCTAAAGGCCAAGTTAATTAAAGCTTCTGCTATAATAATGCCTCATTAGAGGGCACCTTGGTTAAGCTAAATGTATAATTATAGATTTTGTTAACCGTGGGAAATGTCTTTTATCCATCTTTTAATTAGTGTGTTATTTCCTCTTGTTTCTCAGGTACGGTAACCGTGGACACAACCAACCGTGCATCCATAATGGGACAGAGCGCTGCTTCATCACCAGTCAGAATCACGGCTTCGCTGTCGACCCTGACACTTTGCCCAAAGACTGGGACGTGCTCTTCACAAATGCTAACGACCACACCAACGAGGGCATCGTACACAACACAAAGCCTCTGTTCAGGTAACAGTCTGTGAAAGATGGAGTCCAGTGGTGATTCACTCTAGAAGTGACTGGTTCTGGTGCCTTAAGTGCCTCTGGACTGGCCGGAAAAAACCCAATTAAATCATTTGTGGTCCCTTTCATCCAGTGTTCAGTTCCACCCAGAGCACATGGCTGGTCCTACAGATCTGGTCGGCCTGTTTGATGTCTTCATTGAAACGGTGAAAGACCATAAAGAGGGCAACACTGGAAAATCTGGTATTCCAATTTAACTTTCATTTTTTATCATCTTAAATGTTGTGGTGCATATTAATTTATGTCTAAAGTACTTTTGTAGTTTTCAGTAGTAATTGGTATTTAATAGTAGTAATGTAACTATGCCTGTGAAGAAGAGAAACCCTTGTAAGTCTGGCTTGTGTAACAACTAATAAGTAGCAATTTGTGTGATATTTTTCCAGTGAAGCAGCGTCTGATGGACCACCTCACTTTCACTGGTTCCCCAAAGGCTGAAGGGCATGTCAGATCCAAAAAAGTCCTCATCCTAGGCTCAGGTGGACTGTCCATCGGCCAAGCTGGAGAGTTTGATTACTCCGGCTCGCAGGTCTGTGAAACAGGAGCTATTTGGTCTTATTTTGGGCTGTGTGTAAAGCGGAGGGTTAATTCAGGATTTAAAGAAGAACACTTGAACGCAGAGGACTTTTTTCTGTGCCTCCTGATGTTACTCTGCTCTGTTTTCCAGGCTATTAAGGCTCTGAAGGAAGAGAATATCCAGACTGTGTTGATCAATCCCAACATTGCCACTGTCCAGACCTCCAAAGATCTGGCTGACAAAGTCTACTTTCTGCCGATTACAGCAGAGTACGTCACTCAGGTATGGATTCTCTCTGTTGCAACTCTGTGACTGATGAAAGAAGAGAAACTGTGGACACAGTGAAATTTGTAGGTCAACTGTTTTTTGTTTGTTTGTTTTTTCGGATCAGTCAGTATTGACCCCAGATTGTGTTTGTCTAAAAGACTGAGGGGTCTCACATAATCACAGCCCACCAAAGAACACAGAGCAGTTCTGTACAGGTGTGTTTGTAGCTTTGGTGACTGTTGAAGGTAGTTCAGTCTTCTTTTGTGTCTGTATTGTAGGAATTGGGACAGTGGGTTCTAGGACAACCTTTATTTTTATTTCTTTACTGTGGATAAGATACACTTTTACGTGGTCCATCACTTTGTTTGGTTGAACACTTGAATGCAGCACAAGTGTTTAAAAGCAAAGGCAAAACATGAGCTTTGTGTTGCAGCCCTTAAATCCGCGGCTCCATGGAAGTCATCATGTAAGATAAAGGGTGGTGCTGGTGGACTAAAGAGAGCTCGTTGCTCCACTCTGGTTTTTATATAGATGCAATATAGAGACAACAGCCAGTAATTAGTAAGAGAGGAAAAATAAGAGTGCGGATTAATAATGATAATGAAAAGAAACAAGTTTGAGGACAAATATTCCCTCAGATTTTTACCTTCTTTGCCCAGGTTTATTTAATGTAGTTTGTTATTATTTTTATTTTTAAATTTCAGTGTTCATAATACGTTTCTGTAAAAATGTGCTGGCTCAAAGATATAAAAATCCCTGCTCAGCTTTCTACCTGCATCCATCATATGGCAGTATAGAGTGGAAACGAAGAGGCTAAAAGGCTTTTACAGTAAAAAATCAAAGATCACTTAAGCTGCTTTTAGTTCAGTTGCAGACTTCCAAATGTCTTGGACGGGATGAAATTCCCAGTGTGAAATCCACAGAGCTGTTTGTCTCATTTTCATGTGTTGTGAGTGCTTCGTGTCATTACATCTTGTTGTTACAGGTGATAAAAAATGAGCGCCCGGACGGCGTCCTGCTGACTTTTGGAGGTCAGACTGCTCTGAACTGCGGTGTAGAGCTGACCAAGCTGGGCGTTCTGGAGAAATATAAAGTGCAGGTTCTGGGAACTCCTGTTTCCTCCATTGAGATGACCGAAGACAGAAAAATCTTTGTGGAGAAAATGGAAGAGATCAATGAGCATGTAGCTCCCAGTGAAGCAGCTCTGTCGGTGGAACAGGTGAGGAGACGTGTTCGCTTATAAATTAATAGCTTCTGGATTGTTTTTTGCCCCAGTGAAGTCTAAATTTATCTGATTAACTCTGCTGTAGGCGGTGGCAGCTGCTGAGCGTCTTGGCTACCCCGTCTTGGTTCGTTCAGCGTTCGCTCTCGGAGGCCTCGGCTCCGGTTTTGCCAACAACAGAGAGGAGCTGACCTCTCTGGTAACGGCAGCATTCGCTCACACCTCTCAGGTGCTGGTGGATAAATCCCTGAAAGGCTGGAAGGAGATCGAGTACGAGGTGGTCCGGGACGCCTATGACAACTGTGTGACTGTGAGTAAAAGGAGACCAGAGAACAAACGGTTTATACTCACTAAAAAAAAACTGAGGGCGATTTAAAGTGGCTGTTGTTTCCTCTTGTTTAGGTGTGTAATATGGAGAACATCGACCCACTGGGTATCCACACTGGGGAATCCATTGTAGTGGCTCCCAGTCAGACGCTTAATGACCGCGAGTACAACATGCTGAGAAACACGGCCATTAAAGTCATCAGACATCTCGGCATCGTGGGAGAGTGTAACATCCAGTACGCTCTTAACCCCGAATCTGAACAGGTAAGCATATATGTGAAGACCTGGGTGATGAAAAGCACAAATAGGACTGTGTTCACCTATAAAGTGGATCTGTTTTGCATTTCCTTATTTTAAAGCCAGTGACATGCTGTAATGAATAGTACAGAAAGTGTAGGTATATTGAAATAAGCATGGGTGGTAACATGACTTGAAGTATATACAGTTTATATGGCTATAGGATGTACAGAGTGTGCGGCTGGATCTGCAGATAATGTAACAGCCAGGTATGTCAACGGCTTACATTTACTGTTTTGGCTCCATAACAAGGTTGTAAAAAGTCTTTGCTATATAAATCCTAGTTCAATAAGTTTTAAAAGAAAATTGTTTTAGGTATCAATGTGACCAAGTTCATTTCATACAAACCAGGAATAGATTTGTATGAATAGGCTTTATGTATCAGAACAGGCCTTTAAACAGGTCTTGTGTGCATGGGGAGCTGGTATTCCTGCTCCTGGTCTAATTCCCGTAATGTCTGTGATTGAATTGTATCTTCTATGTATAATGTGTTGCAGTACTACATCATTGAGGTGAATGCCCGCCTGTCACGGAGCTCTGCTCTGGCCAGTAAAGCGACTGGTTATCCTTTGGCCTACGTAGCAGCTAAACTTGGTCTGGGGATCCCGCTGCCACAGCTCAAGTACGTCTCTCAGCTTAAGAACGGCGGATAATGAACTAACAGGGGCATCGCTGCTTTTACAGAATGATGACATCCAACAAAGACGTTCCAGTATTCTGCCAAACTGAACATTTTTTAAAAGTGGGGTTTAAAGTATTCAAGCTTAAAATAGGGCTGGGCGATATGACCCAAAATTCATATCTCGATATTTTTTAGCTGTATGGCGATATAAGATATATATCTCGATATATTTTTTTAAAGCCATAAAGTAAGAACAAAAAGAGAGTTCTTAGTCAAAGCTGTGTCCCAGATGTCACACAGGCACTTTTATTAACATAGAGCAGATGTACATAAAATTTACTCAAAAATAAATTATGAGCATTTATTAAATAATAATGCTCCATAAATAAAAGAAAACAATGTTGTTTTTGTGCATAACAAAAAGCTCACAATTGTGCAGTCAAAATGTAAACTAATAGACGCTGAGCACAATAACAAAGACACACAGCAAAATCTCCAGTGTTAAATTAACACTGGAGAGTGTCTATATGGGTCCACACCTCTGAGTGTTAAATACAACACTGTTGAGTGTTAAATTAACACTTTTGACAGTGTTATATGTTTAAAAGTAACCTAGTCAGTTTTGAAGATTAACAATGGCTAACACTGAGCAGTGCTGGTTTGCTAACACTGGAATATTTCTAACATTTTGAGTTATTTTCCAGTGTTAGAAAATCAGCACTGCTCAGTGTTAGCCATTGTTAATCTTCAAAACTGACTAGGTTACTTTTAAACATATAACACTGTCAAAAGTGTTAATTTAACACTCAACAGTGTTGTATTTAACACTCAGAGGTGTGGACCCATATAGACACTCTCCAGTGTTAATTTAACACTGGAGATTTTGCTGTGCAGATTTCACAGCTGCTCTGTTCCCAACTTGTACTGCGTGACTGACAGCCTGGAGTTTGAAATCCGCTTCGCAACCACGTCTCTTAACAGGTGCCATTTATAGTCCTTATACACAGTAGGGTAATATTACGTTGAAGCACAGTACGTATCACTCCGCGAGGCTCAGCCGTAATGCTCCGACAATCCATCAAGCGGTGCAGCTCCGTAGCTTACTAAAGTCGTACTAAAACATTTTTTGACAGATTGCTGAGCGCCGTGTTCCACATAAAATCGGTTCGCGGCCATCAAGCACAACCAGAATTCATACATAAGGCGCGCTGTCAACTTTTGAGAAAATGAAAGGATTTTAGTCCGTGCAGCCCCTCTGGGCTGCATGTCGTTAGCGTGGTTAGCTCGTTAGCGTGGTTAGCTAGCTAACACGTTGACGCCGTCCAGCCCCACGCACGGGGCGATGCGCAGTAACTCGTTAACGGAGATTTGCCGTGTTCATCTTGTCGCTTCCTGCAGGTGAAGCGATGGGGAAGGAGGGGGAGTTCTGTTCAGGGAAGGAGAGGCGAGGCCGAGTAACATTGCATAAAGACGAAAGTGGACGAAAGAGAGGCAAACCTGCGGCTCCACAAGTATAATTATAACGTAACATAGACTATATCGATATAAAGGATATTGTCACATCTTATATCTCGTATAAAAATATATCGATATTTTTTAAAAACTCGATATATCGCCCAGCTCTAGCTTAAAATCAATTTTTGTATATTAAACGACCAAAAAATAATTGTGATGCATAGATGCCTGTAAAGTAAGGCAGCACAGACTCTCTGCCTTCACTGCATGTGGACCCCACAGTGTCACACAGACCCAGGAAACATGTAGCTAGTCAATCATTACACTTAAAGACATCTGATCATTGAAATTCAATCCTTTTTTTTAGTATAAACGTGCTCACAATTTTTCATCAGCAAAGAAATTTGGAAACAAGATGATATTCATCACCTGCACAGCTGGCAGTTTGGTTAATTTGAAGTTATTGTTTTGACAAAGCTGCTTTGAGCAGTTGCAGCATAAGCATTGTAGTTTTTTTATTTTTTGGCATAAATGTCTTAACTGTAAAGCGCCTTTAAATTAAGCGATTCACCAATGAAAAATATTTGCACTGCGTCTGTATTTTTGTCCAGAAACTCAGTGACAAACTCAACGACGGCAAACTTTGAGCCGAGTTTGGATTACTGTGTGGTGAAGGTGCCTCGCTGGGATCTCAGCAAGTTCCTCAGGGTTTCCACCAAGATAGGCAGCTCCATGAAGAGTGTTGGTAAGAGGCAAAAGCGAGCTTGGAACAAAAATATGTTGTAACAAATTGTAAATAGGTAGTAGATTTAGTACTGTTAGTATTCCAGAGCATTTTAAAAATACTTAGTTTGGTCTCAGTAAAGCTAACAATAAATTCACATGGTCATTTTTTGCACCTACTATGTTTTTTCTTTCTTTTTTTATTCTTATTTATTCATTTTTTCTGCACTGCTATCACAGCAGATTTCTCCATGAGGGCATTAAAGTTTTACTCTACTGCTTTATTTCACAGTTTGATTATAAAGTTAACCTTTACCAGTGCGGGCAGAGAAGCCAGTAAGTCAGGTGCTTATTATGGATATTGTGCTCAGTGCTTGAACCTTTTCCTCGACAGGGGAGGTGATGGCTATTGGTCGTAGCTTTGAGGAAGCCTTCCAGAAAGCTCTGAGGATGGTGGATGAGAACTGTGTTGGCTTTGACCACACCATCAAGCCTGTCTCTGAAAAGGTAACCTCCCATAGCTGAAGTCCAGGTTAAATGGTTGTACTGGTTAAAAAATGCCTTGCTGCTGCACGACCTGTTCAGTGCACAGTGTCAGCAAATACTTTATCCCAGGTTGAAAGATTTTTAACCATTTTCAGCCAAACATGCAATGATTTGCTTCATATTTGGTCAGAACACAACATTAGTGCTTTTGCTATGCAATGCCATCGACTTTTAAGGATGAGTGATGGTGCTGCACATTAAAGCATGTTGATCTGTTTTACTACGCCTCTATTAGGATGGTGACCCTATAAATGATTGTGATAAGGACATTTTAAAAGGTCAAAACTGTATTGTTCTGTCTTAACGGGACCAGTAGATGGTGCCAGATCTCCCCTGAGCGATCTACTACTGTAATGCTTCCTGCTTCTGGGTTTTTTGAGGAATGTTTCATTGCATGCTGTTAATCATGTTCTGCTACTATGTGTGTGGCTGATTTATTTTTATTTATTTATTTTGAGAAAATAAGCCCAAATGTCTGAGCTGATGCTCATGGCTGGCAAATAACTAGCAGCACTTTACTTCAGTTAGTATGTTGTGCTCCCTCTGCTTACCAGGAGTTGCAGACTCCTACAGATAAGCGTATCTTTGTGCTGGCGGCAGCATTCAAAGCTGGCTACACTGTGGAAAAGCTGTATGAGCTGACCAAAATCGACCGCTGGTTCCTGCACAAGATGAAAAACATCGCCGACCACGAGCTGCTGCTGGAGACCTACAATCAGGTAAGGCCGATAAGACATAACGTGAAAAAACTAAGAGCTGTTCGAAATGGATTAAGATGCTGGATTAATTTCCTTCCGTCCAGGATGAGAGCTCCATGCCTCCAGAGGTGATGCTTAAGGCCAAGCAGCTGGGCTTCTCAGACAAGCAGATAGCACTGGCTGTACAGAGGTGGGTAGGAAAGGAAATAATCACTGTCTTATTTTAACTTAATGGTAACTTTCTCTGTGATTAGGGTATCATCAGCATGAAATGTTATTTTAGATAAAGTGCTATTAAAGAATCCAAACTTCCTTGGTTTGTCCTCTATCACTGAATCCACGTTTCCCTCTAACAGCACAGAGCTGGCCGTCAGAAAGCTGCGTCACGATTGGTCCATCCTGCCAGTGGTGAAGCAGATTGACACAGTGGCGGCTGAATGGCCGGCTTACACAAACTACCTGTACCTGACCTACCACGGCACAGAGGACGACCTGAGCTTCAACGATCAGCACGTCATGGTGATCGGCTCGGGCGTGTACCGCATCGGCAGCAGCGTGGAGTTTGATTGGTGCGCTGTTGGGTGCATCACCGAGCTCAGGAAGGTAAGGCCTACGTGAGACTTTAATACCGGATGCTCTCTTTATGACTGAGTTAGTCTTTTACCTCACTGAAATTGAATCCAGGGAGCAGGAAGAACCGCCTCCATGTTCAGTTCATCTCTTTATTTCCTTTACTAAACTTTTTTTTTTTTTTTTAGCTTGAGAGGATTAATTTACTTATTTATGAAAAAACATACAAATTTAGATCTTTTTTGTCATTTATTGTGTTGATTATTACACCCCAGAGCCAGTAATCCAAATGTTACGAAATAAGCATCAAACCATTTGCAGATGGGCTATAAGACCATCATGGTGAACTACAACCCCGAGACAGTCAGCACAGACTACGACATGTGCGACCGCCTCTACTTCGATGAGATCTCCTTTGAGGTAAGTTTTAGCTGATACGGGAAAGTGTGATTGTGGTGAATGTGACTTGATTCAAGTCTCACATTTTGGGTGAAAGTAGCCTCTGGGCAGTGGCGTGTCTAGAAAATTTTTGTTGGGGGGGCCAGGTAGGGGCACAGATTTGGAGAAGGGTGGCAGATTTAATTGGCAGATAATGTTTTAAAAAAAAATTCTACCAACCCTTAACCATAATTCAATAATCCTATAAACCTAATAACCAAATGCACTTTTAACTCTTATTAGAATGAGATTTTAACCACTACGGTGCAAAGTTTTTAGATACTGCGTTGATAAAGTACAAGAGATACAATCAGTGCTTTGTCAGTGTTTACTCAGCAGTCAAGGACAACAATATTTGCATAGTATTTTTACTGACATATAGTGCACATATGTTTTGGGCAAAAACATTTTTGAAAATTAAAATACAAACATTTGTAACAAACAATTGACAAATTAGCCAATGCCAATGCAAAACTTTATCTGCCTGTTAAAAAAAGAAGATAATCTTCTCACAAACTGGTGTTTGATTTTGAAACAGGAAAAAAGTGGGGAAACAACTGAAAAGACTAACATTTGAATGAAACCTGAAAGCAAGTAAATACTTTCTATGCTGCCTTATCGTAAACTTTGGTAATATTGATAAAGAACAACACTGGCTGATGATAAAATACAGTCAGCTGGCATGGTGACACTGCCAGTATTAACCTGCAGGGCTGGACTGGGACAAAAAAATTGGGCATTTTTACTACAGACCGACCCACCAGGTAGTAAAGCCATAAAGACTTTGACTGAAAACAAACCCTGTTGTGACAGTGATGTACAGTCTTGTTGGTATATGTATGATTTCTATACATTTTACGTCAGATAAAAACTTTGGTTGTAAGATTTAGATAATTATTTAATAAAAACTAGGTATTTTAAATGAGAATAAGAAAGAAAAGTATTTCTTTGTGCCCACCTTTCCCTGTTAATGCCCTACCTGGCCCCCTGGCAAAACTTTGCTAGACCCGCCCCTGCACAGTTACCAGCTGTCTGCTACATAAAAAAGGATCCTGGTGTTATTTGTCTCTCAGAAACAGTTCATAACTTCCCTTCAACTCATTCATGTCACCTAAAAGGTAAACCTGTTTCTCCATCACCTGTTCAGCTCTGATGGTTCAGTAAGGACATCTCCTGGTTTCATCTTCATGTTTCCCTCTCACCACATATCTAAACAGACATCATGACCAGCAGCTTTACAGCTGTGGCTCCAGCAAACATCAGCTGATACTAGAAATTAATATTAAATACATTCTAACAACAGCCGATCAAGCTTAAACGTGCTGCTGTTGTTTAGCGCAACATCTGCTGGTTTCCTCTTTCTGGCGCAAAGTGGGCGATAAACAAGAGAGAAAAGCCGATCAGCTGATCATTGATCAGTTTCATGATTGAAGTAGCAACAGGAGAGGGAGGGGGAGAGAATGAGAGAAGAGGCAGCTGTGCAGCATAAAGACAGAATAAATCCAGCTTTGTGTCTTTTTTCCATTCTAGCTAAAGTCCGGGACAAACTGCGTCTCTTCTCAGCTCAATACGAAACGTGTAATATTTTCTCTGAATGAGGGACCATTCCATTTTTTTAAGGAGCCGTTGGCAACTCTACTAACCTTATGAATAAAATAAAGTTCACTATCAGTAACATCATAGCACCCACCCAGCTGTATAAAAACTCCGTCAAACTGGCTAGAACGCAGTATGAGTTATTGCAACTGACAGTAAAAAGTCAGCAACATGAAAATAAACTCCACCTAAACTTGGTTTATATCTGACCCAGATAGACTGCAGGTCATAACTTCTTACCTGAAGTTCAGTTCACCTGACACTCGGACTGGCGGCTGCTTCGGGTCTCTCCTCCTGCCTCCCCTTCCCTCATCCACCTGTTGCCTCTGTGGAAGCCCCGTCATAGCCACCACCAAACAACGGAGTTATTTCTACACATCGACCTGCATCTGGCCAATCCACCACCTCTCATTGTTCATGCCATTACAAAAAAAATAAAAAATAAGTCACTGGGGATATGCCCGGTATGCCCGATGGCCAGTCCAGCTATGTTAACCTGCAACCAAATCTGCAGCTCCATACAGCAATGTTACGACTTAGATTATATCTTATAACTCATAACTCTTATGTTAGCTGCCCTCAGTAGCATACTGTCTGAAATATTCCACAGCTGCAATTATTCTTTAAGTGTTATTTTTTTCCTTGGTATTCTAATTTCACCGAAGTTTACTAAACTCAACAAACTTGATATTACTTACCGGGACATTTATTCTGTCCTCATTTTCTTTCACCAAAAAATTGTTTCCTGCAGTGCCATCTTTCGCGCTTGGCTCTCCTACCTTTGCCAACGTGATGCGCATAGCGCAGAAGCGATGCTGCATTCACTTACACTCGGATATCTGAGCGTCACCGTGAAAACATAATCGGACATTTGATATTTGATTGAATTTTATTGTTTTGCCTTTGGGGTGGCACCTGGGGTGGCCAGTCTGGTTTGGGGGGTGGCCTGTGCCCCCCCAGGCCACCCCGCTGGACACGCCATTGCCTCTGGGCTCTTTGTTGCAAGTCATCCCCTCAAACTTTCTAACACTGTTATTAATTTCCTTGTACACGTATTAATCTGCAGTGTTTCGTGGTTAGAGATGAGTATTTCTATGCATCTTTCAGGTGGTGATGGACATCTATGAAAGGGAAAACCCAGAGGGAGTGATCCTGTCTATGGGAGGCCAGCTTCCCAACAACATTGCCATGTCGTTGCACCGCCAGCAGTGCCACATCTTGGGGACTTCGCCCGAGTTCATCGACAGCGCTGAGAACCGGTTCAAGTTCTCCCGAATGCTGGACACCATCGGCATCAGCCAGCCGCAGTGGAAGGAGCTCTCAGACACTGAGGTACAGCAGACTGACGATGAGCTCGTTTTATGTCACCGATGTCTCGGTCTGTAAAGTTAAAGATGTTTAACCCTCAAATGTTGCCTTAATATGCTAGTAAATTATATTTACTGTTATTTACTATTGTACATACAACACTAAGAAAAATAGTTGCAAAGCCAGCGTTCGATGACGTTTACGTTTCTTCTTTGCTCTAGTCTGCTGTGAAGTTTTGCGAGACGGTCGGTTATCCCTGCCTCGTTCGCCCCTCGTATGTTCTGAGCGGAGCGGCCATGAACGTCGCCTACAGTGACAGCGACCTCGAGAAATACCTGAGTAACGCTGTAGCAGTGTCCAAGGAACACCCTGTGGTCATCTCTAAATTCATTCAGGAGGCTAAGGTAGTTAAAGACCCGATAATTACAGCAGAATTATTGATTATTATCAAGTTGAGTTGAGGCTGTACTGTTTATAAATTTCGCAGGAGATAGACGTGGACGCTGTCGCATGTGACGGTGTAGTGATGGGCATTGCGATTTCTGAACACGTGGAGAACGCTGGAGTTCACTCTGGTGACGCCACCTTGGTGACACCGCCTCAGGACCTCAATCAGAAAACCATAGAGAGGATCATGCAGATCGTTCACGCCATCGGTCAGGAGCTGCAAGTCACCGGGCCGTTTAACCTGCAGTTAATTGCAAAGGTAAGAAGTACATGGAAATACTGTTAAATGCTGTTGCTGAGGACGTGAATTTAAATTGTTACTCAATGCTGATACTTTATGTAGCTTTCTTACAGTATTTTCCAGATTCCGGTAATAAACAGAGTCAGATTTAGGGAGACTAGTCTTCTTCTTCTGGCATTTAAGGCTGAACGGGGAGTTGTGGTATAAAAACGTATAGTTTTGTAAAGTTGGCACAGTTGCTCAAATTAGCCAAGCATGATCGACCTTTTTAATCCCCAACCTGCTGGCAGAAATGTCCACCTATTAAAAAACACATATCTCTCTTCAGAACTATGACGCCTAAATAAAAAAACCTTAGTTTATATGGTGAAAAATTATTTGAGAGAATCTTGAAGAGCTGCTGCTCCTCCACATCGAAAGGAGCCAGATGAAGTGGTTCGGGCAACTGACAAGGATGCCCCCTGGATACCTCCTGGGCGAGGTTTTCCGGGCAGACCCAGGACACGCTGGAGAGATTATATCTCTCGGCTGGCCTGGGAACGCCTTGGTGTTCCCCCGGATAAGCTGGAGGAGGTGGCTGGGGAGAGAGAGGTCTGGGCTTCTCTGCTTGGGCTGCTGCCCCCGCGACCCGGCTCCGGATAAAGTGGAAGAAAATGGATGGATGAATGAATCTTGAAAATGAACAAGTCTTCCAGTACAGAGTAAAATGTGAGAGTGAAAATATTGCGTGTACTTAATAAAAACCTAGAAATGTTTGGGGGTTATTTTCTGGTGTAACAGAAATATACAAGTGCTACATGGATTTTTTTCAGGTGACCTCATTGTTGTGCTCCTGAAGCTTTTAAAAGGCAGCTGGGGTCATTTAAAAAAACAAAAACTATGCGTCAGAGCAGCGGTCCCCAACCTTTTTTGCGCCACGCAATATGACCAACAATATTTTCACGGACCGGCCTTTAAGGTGTCACAGATAAATACAACAAAATAAAACTAGTACCGGTACCAAAAAAAGATTTATTCATAACACACATGAAAAGATCCAGGAAAACAGAGTTAACGATAAGAACGATAACAAAATAACGCTGAAAACTGATTAAAAACCCTGAAAACTATACATTTCACACCTGAGCCTCAACTCTTGCGGCCCGGTACCAAACGACTCGCGTACCGGTCCGAGGCCCGGGGGTTGGGGACCGCTGCGTTAGAGCGAGTACCAAGGACACCAGGAAAGCAAAGATTAATGCAGTGTTAGTTTTTGAGAGAAGCTGAGCTTGGTGCCAGTCGTTCATAGAAGAGTTATGTCATCTTCATGCAGAGCAAGCAAACTAACAAGTTACTTCCATGAAAAATAAAAGTAAATGTGATGCTTTTGCTGTAGATTTGGGAAAACAAGCAACAGATATGTTTCTTCCCGTTTACAGCCACCACAGATGGCATTGTTTGTCCGTTACTTTAAGGTGTTTACATTGTAAAGTACAGACCCTGAAAGTCCTCATTAAGTTATGAAAATTAAGCTGTGTCAATAATGCAAAGGACAGTTATGTCTTCTATCAACACTGGTCAGAGCATTCATTCACCGCTGTGTTTTTTTTCTCTCAGGATGACCAGCTCAAAGTGATCGAGTGCAACGTCCGAGTTTCTCGCTCCTTCCCCTTTGTGTCCAAGACGCTGGGAGTGGACTTGGTGGCTCTGGCTACCCAGTACATTATGGGGGAGGACGTGGAGCCAGTGGGCCTGATGAAAGGGAAAGGGATTGTGGGAGTCAAGGTAAGCAGTGTGGAAGCAATCATAAATTTCCCTTCATGTTAAATCACTTTTGTCTTCTCATCTGACTGAGCATCACGGATTGCTTCAATGTCCTCCAGGTCCCTCAGTTTTCTTTCTCTCGGCTGGCCGGAGCTGATGTGGTGCTCGGGGTGGAGATGACCAGCACTGGAGAAGTAGCTTGTTTTGGGGAGAACCGGTACGAGGCTTACCTCAAAGCCATGCTCTCCACAGGCTTCAAGATCCCCAAGAAGAACATCCTGCTCTCCATCGGCAGCTATAAGGTACTTAAAGGTTTCGACTGACAAAAACACAACAGATAGGGATCCAGATGTGAACAGTGAGTTCAGCTCACAAGTGATGCAGCTGGAAGTACGAATGATGCATTTTAGTGGCACATTAAAGGTGCAGATGTTTTTGTGGCTGATCAGTCACATGGGAATAAACAACAGATTTTATGCATCTGCTACTTTCCTAACGAGAAAAGCAACAAACCTTGATTATTTGTTTTTGCAGCTGTTGATGATTCCACCAACAGCTGATAACTGTAAATATTATCACCATGAGACCAGATGTAGTTAAACTCGATCAAAACCATCTCAGCAACACAAATGGAATAAAAATCATCGGACCACATTTATTTTTCTGCGGCGTTGAAATATTATGATCTGTTTGAATATAGAAAATATATTCAAATATAATATATTTCCTATATAGAAAAACTATATTAAGGGGCGACCGTGGTTCAGGGAAGTCTAAAGATATGAATGCTGGGTTAAAAAAACAGCAAATGGAACTGTATAAAAAGGCCATCGATGTCAGATAAGATGAGCTGAAACTGAAACTGTCTGTCTACCACAATAGATTTAAGAAGTTTAAGAGTGATCTGATTTTAAGGAGCAGCTGCAGAGTGTTCCGGTTGTGTGAAGCATAGTAAACGAAATAGATTTTTCCAGCTTTCAGCACTGATGTTATGATTTTATTGTTTATCCAAACTATTTGCATTGACTTGTGTTTGCAGAACAAGAGTGAGCTGCTGCCCACCGTGCAGGCCCTGGAGTCTTTGGGATATGACCTGTATGCCAGCATGGGCACGGCTGACTTCTACACAGAGCATGGAGTCAAGGTAATTCTTTTAACACAGGCTTCGTTTTTTGGAGTAACAAACTTTATTTAAATCAAAATCGACTTATTTTGCAGTGGCACATCTGTGAGTGACTCATGAATATGGTCGTGTTTATGTGTATTTGTTTTTAAATGCTTTAATCCTGGTAACCCTTTACATTTTTATCATTCCTCTTGAATTGCACATTAAACCAAAGATTCCAGATGAGCAGCACTTATACATGGATACAATGTAGCTGTAAAAATGTTTTATTTTGCTAGAGCTTTTGAAAAACAGCAGAAATGTATTTAGAAATGTCATTGTTCATAATTGTGGCATTCACTTAAGTACTTTAATACTTAAAATATAGTGTTATTAATCTATGACAGGATGAAATCAGGATAGAAACTTTAAGTTTGTTTTGTCTCCTTGTACAGGTGACTGCAATCGATTGGCCGTTTGAGGAGTACGACAGCGATGAATGTGCCACCAAAGAGAAGCAGCGCAGCATCATGAACTACCTGGAGGAGAACCACTTCGACCTTGTCATTAACCTCTCCATGAGGAACAGCGGAGGTCGAAGGCTCTCCTCCTTTGTCACCAAAGGCTACAGGACCAGGCGTATGGCTATCGACTACTCTGTCCCGCTCATCATCGATATCAAGTGCACCAAGCTCTTTGTTCAGGTACGCGATCTGTTTTTTTTGTTGTTGTTTGTTTTGTTAGGATGTTTTGTGTGATGTGGTTCTATGGGAACATGATTAATAAAGGGTGACTCGTTTGCAGGCTCTTCGTCAGATTGGAAGGACTCCACCAGTGAAAACTCATGTTGACAGCATGGCATCCCAGACACTCGTCCGTCTGCCCGGTGAGTGGTCGTAAACGGCAACAACAACACTAATGTAATGTTAGATGTTTGTTTCTGAAACAGGAATTCTTGAGTCTTTAAAGCAAAGTTGTTCAAAGACTGAGGTTCTTTAAACAGTAAATACTTCATCCTACTAAAAGCTTTACTAATTACTTGCACTAATAGTTCAGCTTCTCATTTTAATTCTTCTTCACATAGTACTGTTTTTTTCTAAATATTTGAAGTCGAGCTATGCAGACAAACTAGTACAAAGATACCGGGTGAAGTATTTTGGTTTTTGATTGAATCACAGGTCTGATCGATGTCCACGTTCACCTACGGGAGCCTGGCGCCACCCATAAGGAGGACTTCTCCTCAGGCACAGCAGCTGCTCTGGCAGGAGGAGTGACCCTGGTGTGTGCGATGCCCAACACTTCCCCCGCCATCACTGATGCTAATAATCTGGCTCTGGTGCAGAAGGTAAACCCACGTTTTTAAATTGTATTCACTTTTTAATCTGTTGGCTGATCCTGTTAATGCAGAAATGTTAAGATTTTTGTTGGCAGTGACCAGAAAGGACAAGATTAGAAATGAGTACTTCAGTATTCAGTAAAATTTGAAGCGATAGGACATTGACTCCTGTTATATTGTGTCACCAGTTAGCCAAAGCAGGCAGCCGCTGCGACTACGCCCTGTATGTGGGCGCTGCCACGGACAACGCTGCTGTCCTGCCGCCCATCGCCAGCCAGACCGCCGGTCTGAAGATGTACCTGAATGACACATACTCCACCCTCAAGATGGACAACGTCTCCCTGTGGATGGAGGTAGGCTGGATTTTAAGTGTTGCTGGAAGGCCATTAGAGATGCTTCAGCCCTAACCATGTGGATCTGTTTAAAGCACTTTGAGAAATGGCCCAAGCAGATGCCCATCGTGGCTCACGCTGAGAAGCAGACGGTGGCGGCGATCCTCATGGTGGCCCAGCTGTACCAGCGGCCAGTCCACATCTGTCACGTGGCCAAGAAAGAGGAGGTAAAGAGCTGTTTCTTATTGTTGTTAATTTTATGCAACTTTTACTTTATTTTAAACTATTTTAGTGGATTTGAGGTATTTTACTTTTAATTAGTCTGTTTTATTATCGATTGCTTCGGCTGTTAAAGTGCATCTTATCTTAATTTTTTTGATTCTTTCCTACAGTTTTAATACTACTTAATGGTTTTCAGATCCTGGTAATCCGAGCTGCAAAGCAGAAGGGCATCCAGGTCACATGCGAGGTCGCCCCTCACCACCTCTTCCTGTGTGAGGATAATGTGGCGCAGATCGGCGACGGTCGAGCGCAGGTTCGACCCATGCTGGGAACACGCGAGGACATGGAGACACTCTGGGAAAATCTGGACATTATCGACTGCTTTGCTACAGACCACGGTCAGAGAGCATTCATTTTCTGTCACCGATCATGCAGACAGACTTGTCTTCGACCTTCCTGAACTGTACGGTTTTTGTTTTGTTTTGCTAGCTCCTCACTCTGTAGACGAGAAGAACAGTGAGCGTCCTCCTCCTGGTTACCCCGGTCTGGAAACAATGCTGCCTCTGCTGCTCACCGCCGTCAGTGATGGACGTCTGACTCTGGATGATATTACCAGACGTCTTTATGACAATCCACGCAGGATCTTCAACCTGCCCGTTCAGGAAAACACCTACGTGGAGGTAAACAGACAAACACAATTAAAGGGAATTCATTTTAAGGAGACATTATTTTGATGCAGTAATTAGCAGCCTATCTGTACTCTGATGAAATATGTTCCTAATTATTTATCAATTACGTGTCTTTCAGGTGGACCTGGAGCAGGAGTGGGTTATTCCTCAGGCCATGCAGTTCACTAAGTCTAAGTGGACTCCTTTCGAAGGTATGAAGGTGAAAGGTAAAGTCCGCCGCGTGGTCCTGCGAGGAGAGGTGGCCTACATCGACGGCCAGGTCAGCATTCGTGCGTTTTGCTTTTGAACAAGAAAACAAAGAGAATAAATGTAGTTGATCTAATAAAGTACGTGTCCCGACTCCTTCAGGTGCTCGTGCCTCCAGGTTACGGTGAGGATGTGAAGACTTGGCCCACTTCTTCCACCCATCCTGCAGAACCTGTCAAAGAAACTCCAATGGTAATAAAAGTGAATGCGGTAATAATGCAGCTGCCTTCCATGCTTTCTGTTGTAAGATAAAGACTCTACAATAATATTACATCACATTGGTGTTTTGGCCACCACCATGATTATTTTTGGAGCCAAAATTGACCAGATTTAAGAAGAGAGTGAAGTTATCTGCCAACACTAACACACTTCTTTAGCAGCCATAGCCATGAAGAACGTGCACACAGCAGCAGATATCGGCTAGTTGATGCTAAGTAAACGTAACTGAAAGAAAACACTAGAATTTCATTCAACAAATAGAATAAAAGAACTTCTTAGATGTAATTAGTTTAAAATGCTGTAAAAGACACAGCAAGCAAAATCGAGAGGTTCAGATCAGTGATTAAAGTTGGTGTTTCTTCCATGCCTGAAATGTCTGGTAGGAGGCAAACAGCAGGTATCAACTTGTTCCTTTTGAAATGTGGAGGAAAAGCAGCTCCTCACTTTATTCCTAAGAAAGAGGTCTTAGACCCACCGTTTGGAGGAAGCTCTTTTCCGGTGCTTATATCCCCGGTCTTCTTTCTTATGAGCGTAGATGACATCTAAAAAGTTCACAGAATTTGAACGTACAGCTAACAGAGTTTAATTACAAACAAAAACATTTAAAGCCTGTACTTAGAACTGTTTTGAGTGTTTCTTGAACTCCTCTATGTGGGGATTACTTCATGTGTTTTGTTTACATTAATTCTGCTCCATCAGACTCCTGAGCGTCGGCGTCCAACTCCACCCCGGGATGGAGTGCGGACTCGAGCTGCGAGCCCACGACGCATTGGTGGAGAAAGCCGCTACCTGCTGCCGCCCCGCATCCACCGTGCCTCTGATCCCGGCCTGCCACCAGGTATTACAGCTCCCAGAATGCTTTGGAACAGCAGTTTTTTGTTTTACCTCGAGGGTTTCTCCCAATGTTTCTACCAGTGTATTATCAGCCTGCCTGGCTGTGGTGGGGCGTGGTCTGCGGTGCCGTGCAGGGAGGGCGGACGCACCTGCACGGCATCCTTAATCACGCCCGCCTAGTTAAAAACACGGGGACTCAGGGGTTTGGGTGTGTAGTGGTGAGATGTAAATAAAGATGGCGCTGAATGATACTCCGTGGTCCCGCCGTGCCTTATTCTCGCCACACTGGCCTTAACAGGGGATTTTTAAAGCCTTCTTTAGGCAAAAGGTATCAATAAGTTGAAAGAGGGGTTAAAAAATGAAGCAGATGTTATCATATCATTTCACATGTTCAGCTGGTATGTCCATTAATCAAGTATGTCAAAACTGTTCATTGCCGTATAAAAACAAGTTTAATTAAAGTTGTTTGATGTTCTCCTGCTGATTCTCAGTGAAACACCTTTGCTGTGTTCCAGTCATTGATACACTGCGACTCTTATCCCCACAGAGATGGTCATGCTCCCACCAGCCGCTGCTGTTGACGGGTACAGCCATCCTCCCCCACTGTCCAGGCTGCTGTCCCCGCAGTCTGGGTCAGGACAGGTGCCTCCTGGTCAGGTGTCACACCTGCAGATGTCTCCTCTGCTTCACCCACTGGTGGGACAGCACATCTTGTCTGTCAGACAGTTCAGCAAGGAGCAGGTACGCCGAAGAAGATGAAACACACTCTGGGAATGCTGACAGGTTTGAAACAAGATCTCGGGTCTGAACAAAAGTTTATTTTTGTGTCCTTCATTTGTTTCAGATCTCACACCTGTTCAATGTTGCTCACACTTTACGTTTGATGGTTCAGAAGGAACGAAGCCTGGAAATACTCAAGGTATCTCCTAAACGTGCCTCATGTTACTGCACTATTCACTAATTTCAGTTATGTGCTGTTACAATGGTGGATGTTCGTATCAAACATGACCAAAGTTATAGAATGATGAGGTACCTTAAGGTAATCCCTCATTCCTCATGCCTTCCTGTTCAGGGTAAAGTAATGGCCTCCATATTCTATGAGGTCAGCACTCGCACCAGCAGTTCCTTCGCAGCGGCCATGCAGCGTTTGGGCGGCTCCGTCGTCCATTCCAGCGAGGCCACTTCCTCCTCGCTGAAGGGAGAATCGCTGGCGGACTCTGTCCAGATCATGAGTGGCTACGCTGACGTCCTCGTGCTGCGTCACCCAACACCTGGAGCTGTAGAGGTGGATTTTAGATGGATACTTTTTTTTATTAAAAGTTTTCTTTACGTAACAGAAAATAAAGACTAATTGGTCATAAAAGTAACTGCAGCAGCACCCTGTTGTGTGTTTTTTGATGCTTGTTTAGTTTGAAGATGAGTTTTTAATATCTTACGCACGTGACTCCTCCTTCTCCTCAGAGCGCGTCCCGTCAGTGCCGTAAGCCGCTGATCAATGCTGGCGACGGTGTCGGGGAGCATCCCACTCAGGCCCTGTTGGACGTCTTCACCATCAGAGAGGAGCTGGGAACGGTCAACGGCATGACGGTGAGCGACATGATTCCTTTTTAATTTAATCTTCAGCCAGAATAAAACTTTACATGAAAACATGTTAAAACTGTGGCGTCTGTCAGATAACGATGGTTGGAGATCTGAAACATGGCCGAACGGTTCATTCCCTCGCCAAACTGCTGACCCAGTACCGCATCACTCTGCGTTACGTGGCTCCCAAAAACCTCCACATGCCAGCAGAGATCGTCAGCTACGTGGCCTCAAAGGGCATCAAACAGGTGAGGACTAAACATGGTTACACAGCAAAGAGGAGTTTTCACAAATATGTACTAAAAACTGCTAATTTTTAAAAAACATGTTTGTTTGCAGGAGGAGTTTGACAGCATCGAGGAGGCTCTGCCTGACACCGACGTCCTCTACATGACGAGGATCCAGAAGGAGAGGTTTGCATCTGAGGAGGAGTACAAAGCCGTAAGTTTCATTTCACCGACTGGTTTTATTTTGTGACACAGATACTTGCATATACTCACAGCACATCTGTAGTTAGGCCTGGTGCTTCCTGCCTCATGCTGGCCCGGTAATCGTTTTTGATATCGTTCAGTTGGTCTCATGGTGACATTTTCCCTAATCCACTATTCTGCACTGCAAACTCCACTGACTCCATCTGGTGAAGCTGGAGTTTGTCTGCATTTGGAGTTCATCTTTAGTGGAAAGCAGCTGATTTGTTCAGTTATTCGTCACAAAGTTCTTTCCAAATGAAATATTTCTAGAGGCAAAACTATTAAATAGAATTGTCTTAAGAAAACAAGAAGATATGCGAGAAAGAAGGCGTTCCCTCACCCCTCTACAGATGTAAGCGTGTGGGGAAATATGGAAGTGGAACCCTTTAGCTAAGCATTCATAGGTGCAGACATAACCAATCAGCTCAGGTCTCATGTGACTGGATGATCCCGGAGTATTTGTGATCTTTAACTGTGACTCTGTTGTTTCTCTCAGTGTTTTGGTCAGTTCGTCCTCACTCCTCACATCATGACTGGAGCCAAACAGAAGATGGTGGTGATGCACCCGCTGCCCAGAGTCAATGAAATCAGGTGAGACGCGCTCAGTCAAATGTCTGACAACAATATCAGTTCCAGCTGTGTTGTTTAAATGTTGCTTGAGCCCTTAAATGGGCTGCAGAAATGTAACGTTTTGTGTACAATGTCTAATTTCAGTACGATTTCTTTTAACTAACTTAAATTTGAACTGAATTTTATTTTAACCCACCTTACATTATTTGCTATTGTGTTGATTAAGTGGACTAATGATCTGTTTCTCTTTATTTCTCTCAGTGTGGAGGTGGACACAGACCCGAGGGCGGCATATTTCCGTCAGGCGGAGAATGGCATGTACATCCGAATGGCCCTGCTGGCCACCGTACTGGGCCGATAACTCAGTGTGTGTCACAGGCTGGGTCTCTGACCCAGCGCTCTGAGTTCATTTTGTATTTGTCTCATTTTAGATATGTGATTAGTTTGTGTCATTCCTATTTAGCTTTAGTTAAGGAAAGGCAGTTATTAATTATTGTTTCCTTGGTTTCTATGTTTGAGTTCTTGTATCGTTCATCACGTGTTAGGTCTGTTAAGCTTGTGTTGTCATGTCTAGTTTCAGTGTTTCCTGTTTTATTTTGAAGGAGTCGTGTGTTCTTTGTTCATTGTATTTAGTTTCACTTCCCCCGTCCTGTCATTAGGTTCATGTCAGTCAGCTGTTCCTCCATGTGTTCCCACTTCCCCTAATCACCTCCTGTGTATTTAAGTCCTGTGTTTTCAGTGTGTCATTGTCAGATCGTCTGCTTTGTTTGCAAGCCAAGAAGTTGGTCGTCTCCAAGTCTCCTCGCGTCAAGTCCATGTTCCTGTTGTAGGTTTTTAAGTTAATTTAGCTCACCCAGTTTAGTTTATTGTTAGCCTTGCATTTTGCCTTTTGTTTCCGTCTGCATTTGGGTCCACCCTTCACTCTACACACAATCAGCCCTGCTGATTGTGACAGTGTGCTGCTTCTTTGTCCTACAAACTGTCAGAGAAACAAAAATGTATCTTTTCTGAAATCTATACATTTCTCATTTCCTGCCCCCGAGGGGTGCAAGTAGGTTTAAATACTAGATTTAATACGGAGTTAAAGTTTATAACATGCTGCTGTAACACAGAACTTTTTTTTTCTCCAGTCACACAAATGTTTACTTGTTTTCTTTCCTGCTGTATTTCAAGATTCCTTTATTTTTACATGTCTTAAAACCATTAACATAATTAACATATAGAACCAGAATCTGTCTTGTTTGAAATGGTTAAGAGATGATCAGTGTTTGTGCATCGATGAGCCAAATCGAGGAGCAGAGGAGCAGAGGAGCAAAGGGAAGAAATAGGAAGTGGGTGCTACTATCGATGTCTTTTTTACATATATATATAATTTGCAGCTGCTGCATCTGATTAATGATGTTTAAAGGGACCAATGAGGATGTCAAAGAAGATAAATCCTGAATGCATTTTTACGTTTAGACCAATTTACTGGACCAGCTTCATCAGATGTTTGTTTGGGTTGGCACAGTCCTCTGAAAACCAGCAATGGTGGTTTACGCCTTGAGGTTTTTCAAAAGAAAATTTCTAACAAAATACAGAGAAAAAAATATTTTTACTACACCAAACAATCCGATTGATATTTTGTTTTAAAATGAGCAAAAGCAAAACTAAGTGTCTCTAATATATTTCTAGGTTACCGGAAAACCTTCATCATTCCAGCTCTACATGAGTATAATGGTACGATACGGCTTACTGCACATGTTTGTATCATGATTTCAGTCTGTTTCAGAGTCGTGACATCCTTGGTTGTATGAAATGGTTGTTTCCCTTTCTTCAAATGTGTTGCATTAACTGCAAGTGGAAACGCACAAATATCCTCAGAGCACAGTCTTTGATGGTTTTGGGGTAATCTCTGTAACTATCAGTAATTTCTTACACTGTTGACATAAACTTTTTTTTAAAATCAAAATCCAAACGTATGTTTGTAAAGTGTCGAACGACTTCTGTGTCATGTGGAGAAATAAATAATGAAAAAGGATGTTTCTCTTTGTGGTTGATTTCATTTAATACCCACAAATTATTTCAGAATTTTTAGTAACATAATTTAATGTCTTGTTTGGATCTTGTCGTTGTAGTTACGGATGATTGGTTGTGAGCTCATCCTGACTCAGTACTGGCAAAGGTCATGTCTAAATTGATGACTTGATTAAGAACAAGTTTCTCACTATGTAAATTATTTTAATACTTCAAAGCTCATTTAACAGCTCAAGGATCCACAAAGGTTTATATCTTCAGTATTGTAGTTAGACTAATGGAAATTGAAAAAAATGGCCATTGGTTTGTCAATGAGTTTTGCAACTAAACTGATTTCGCTTCAGGATGCATCTAAAATGCATTCAGGCTGGCTGTGTGGTGTCGTGGAAAAGTGGTACGTGCAAAAACCTTTTTTTGTCTGTCTTTGAGGGTGGGGGAAGACGCTTAATGTTTTTGTAAGTATGACTAATACTTACAAAAGTATTAGTATACTTTGACTTCTAAGGTATACACACACACACACACACACAAGAACAACAACATAGAAGAAGAAGAGGGGTATAGTTTACTACACGTCATAAAAACACAATTATCTTCCAACTGCATCTTTCTGTTCTGACTTTAGAGTCCTTGTTTGTTTACTGAACCGTACTTTGGAGTCATACTGTTGTGATACTGGGGAGGAAAGGGTAAGGTGTGAGAGACTAAACCCTCACACACAAAACTTCAAAAATCATGTGTCATTGTAGATAAACTGATCTACAATGTGTTAGTAAAGAGTGACTTGCACTGCAAATTTGTTAAACCATTGCTTAACGGGCCATTAAGCAATGGTTTAACAAATCTCCTTTAACATTCACAGTGACTAAACCAGCTGTCTTACCAGCTGTTATATTCTTTAAACTTAAAATAAACCCCTGAAATTAGAGTTTGGTGTTTTAAGTCACCTATTAAAAAACACGAGTGAACACTTCTTTCTCTCAGCAGCATTACTGAAGTGACACTTTGATGATGCTTCATATCACAGTCTTTATGATGGAAAAAAACATGCAGATGTCTGCACTGCCACTGTCATGAAAATGTCCAGAGCCAGGGTTCAAGCTTCCTCTTCAGTTATCATTGATCATTAATATGGAGGCCATAGAGCGTGCGCAGTGGGGACCGCGTGGCCCGGAAGTGCCGCTTTTTCAGATGAGCGAACGCGCGTGCATCAGTGTGCATGTGTGCGTCCTCGTACGTGCAAAAGGTGCCCTTTCTGGCCATCACTGATGGAGGTGTGGGGGGCATACCTCCCACCCCCAAAGGTGCCCCTTATATTCTTCTATTGTTAAAATATGTTATGAATACATAGAATAAAGACATTTTCCATCACAGTGTTATTGCTCATCAAGTCAAGCTGTAAAACCAAGAGGGTATTTAGAAGTTCTTTGAGAAAATTCTTATACGTATCAGAGCTTTTCTATTGGGATAACAGAGACTTACAGAACGTCAGGTGGTTTTCATGATAGTTGTAATAGTGAGAAGAGATTAGTAGTATAACTTTGTAATAAAAAATAATATTAATAAACAAATGGCTTACAAATATGAATGTTTATTTATGTGCAGAAATAAAATGGAAAACAGCAGACTTAAAAATTGCTCATATTAAAATGTAACGAAAACAAAATTGAGAACTGAATGTGGAAGGAACTAAACAAAACTTAAAGAAGAAACCCGAATCACAAGATCCAACAAATGATCAGGGAAAGATAAAGGAGGACAGGACTTTATATACATCGAGGACTAGTTGAGGTTTAGGATAAACACAGATGAAGACAATATGGGCAGATTGAGAAATAACAGAATAAAAAGTAGGACTAATGCGAGACATGAAAGAAAAGTAAACTTCAAAGTAAAACAGGAAATAAAAAACTGAAGCTAAATTAAAGTGAACAGCAAGTGTAAGCAGGGTTTAAATGACATTTAACCTCCACATGTCTTCTGCTGAACTAACCAGGAACAACTTTTTGTTGTTAAGTTGCAAATATGTTAATAATGTACAAATGTTAGCGGAAATGTTTTTGTAAAATATAAATGTATAACTATATCTTTAATATCTATACCAGGCTTATGTGGGTACATTTAGATATTCACACTTCAATCAATCAATCAGAACTTTATTTGTCACATGTAAGTTGCCCTCCAGTGATCACATTCTGGAAACACACTGGTCTGATTTCATAAAGAAAATAAAGTTTCTATTTACATTTATTTATATAGTTTTAATGGAGGATATAAAGACGTGCTTCTGGATTTGAAACCAAATGTTTGTTATAATAATGGTATCTATCTAATAGTTTATGATAATTAGCACGTCGCTATCAATCTGTTGCATGCAAACACAAAATTAGTCTTTAACTTAAATGCGAGTCCTTTTTGTCAACTTGAACTATGTGACTGGGAAACTGAGAGTAGAGTAGAGGCTGCTGGGATCAGCAGTGGCTGCAGCAGAAGAGGAATGAGCCTTCACAGTGCTGTAGGTCACTGCATCACCTTCATCATCACCACGAACCTGGAAAAGTGACATAACACTGTGACCCTGAAGTGGATAAGCGGTTCGATGGAAGTAGTGGAAGGGCGCTTAGAGATCACATGCTTCTGTGTTCAATACATTATTTTTACTTTCAAAGAAATTGTGGATCAAATATTCTTTGTTTGCCCATGCTCAGCCTCTCCACCAACTTCTATGAAGTTCTGTTTTGCAGTTAACAAGTCGCCCATCAAATGTTTTGTAGTTACTCACATGATTGCTGCAGGAGGACTCAGTTAACTATGCTCACATCAGCATAAACAATCCATAAAAACTCTGCATGGTGTAATAGCTGATGTATAGCCCTTGACCTTCAGAGAGGGTTGTGCTCTCTGTGAGCTCTCGTTACTGATGTTACTGAGTAAATAAATACATAAATATAAATATAGTAAATAAATAAATAATACACAAAGACAAAACCTTACCTGAACTTTACAGGTTTTTTTAATTGGTTTGGTACTATTTTCACAACTAAAGTGTGCATTTTCAAATCTCTCAGTACAAAACTCACATTTGATCACATTTGTAACACCACTAGTCATTCTTTCAAATCTGATGTCATGAGTTCATTGTATTTGCACATATTTTCATTCCACTTAATCATTGTTGCAGAACATATGATCATTGTGATATATACTGAGAACATTTGCTTTACTCACCCAAACAAAACAGTAAGATCTTTTTTCAACGTAGTACTTTTACCAATCATTTCATTCAGGAGCAAATAATACAAGGTAAGCGTTTCAAATTGTCCTTGGTGATGAATGAGTGTAACTGAACTGTAAAACTTTACACAGCAAGTATTACACTTATGTTCAGGCATAACAAAAAAAATAAAAAATAAAAAAAATAAAAAATATATTCATATATATATATATACACATATACACACACACACACGAAAAAGGGAGAAAAAACAACAAGTCATTTACACAAGCACAATATATTTTTTATTTTATTTTTTATCACTTTTATACAATTAATCAAGCCGGTCATTAACATTGGGCCATAAGTTTTCATCAACATCCCAGTGGATGTCTTCGTTG